ATTTTCTTAGAATTTTTGCTGTAGTTAGAGCAAGGATTTTGAGTTTGACAAGGATTAAGCCTTCAGCATACTACTTCCCAGTTAAATGACAGTAGAACATCTCTGTTACTCCATATGGACACAAGATACTGTTACACCCACCACCTAAAGATGTTGTTGTGATTGAAGGACATGATGGATAATTACTATTAGTTTTATTTTCCATCCCTTTCCCCCTGTTTAGACTTGATACCTTAGGAAAAAAATATTGTACATTTTATAGAGATGATATATCATTTTTATTGTTGGAAGTTCAATCATTTTTATTTATAATATCAAATGGGAATTTCAGAGTCTTTTTCCTAAACATTGTATATTATGAGAAATACTAGATTTCTGGTTTTTTATTCCCAATATATTAAATAAATTTAAATTTTATTTATCAAATTTTGCTAACACTATTAACATTTTTGATTACTACTACTTGTTTATTGAGTGGATTTTCTCTCATTCTACTCTTCAGAAACCAATTTCAAGAATATAACCTTTATAGAAGAAAAAAAATGCAGTGGCCAATACATTCAATATGTATTATGTCCCTTTTTTTTGCACAGCATATTATCGATATGAAAGATTAAAGACCTTGAGGTTAGAAGTTCATTTCTTTGTTTGCTTATTTGTTTGAACAATAATCAGAGTAGATTGTGTTCCACAGAACATTCTGCAAAATTGAACTTTATATAGAAATCATTTTTTTGATTAACTTTTAATATTTTGTCTTACAGTGATTTAGGTCAAAGTTTACACACAAGTTATTTTTTTTAATTCAACCATACACAAAGATTTTTTTTTCCCAAAGCTACAATATCCACATGTAGTTTTACCTCTCCCATCTCTTTCCGCTCTAGAGAGAGCATTTTTATTGCTTAAACTTTCTTTTAAAAAGACTTAATGCTGCTGTGCAAACATTGTGTGAAAACAGGGCTTGCAATTTCTTTCTGGAAAGTCATTCTGGTTGGGATCCAGCACACTATATTGGATTGCGGGTTAGGGATAGAGAAGGTCCTGAGCTCTTCGCTTCAGTACACCCTGGGTGAGCTCCAGCTTCTGTAAGTCCAACTTCCTCTACATACTCTCCCTAGGCAATTTCCTTTTTTTTCATGGCTCTACTTGCCAGCACTCCTCTAATCGATGGTTTTAGCTAAAATTTCATTTCTAAGGTCAAATTAGGAAGTTTATTTGGCAACTTGCTATATCCATTTGGATACTATACAAGTACTTGAAACTCTCCCTGTCTCATGCCAAATAAATCATCTCTGTTCTCCCTGCTCTCATCAAACTCTATTCTTTCATAGCTATTTTTATGAGGACTACCCTTCATTAATAACTTGGAATCTCCTGTCTTCTTGTGCATTTCCATCCCCTACATTTTGCATATCTTCCAAATAAGTAGATACAGTTGATTTTATGACTGTATTTCTCTAAGATTCTTTCCTCCATTTCCCCCTTTTATCTACCAGTATCCAAGATCAGATTTTGGTAGTTTATTACTTGAAAAGTGCAAAGGTGTTGTCACTGATGTCCTGTTTCAGTCTTGTTTCATTCACTATGAATAGTGAATTCTTTACAGACAGACCTGATCATGCTGACCTCTTGCTTAAAATCTTTAAATGGTTTCTCATTGCCTTCAGTTAGATTTCAGAAATTGATGAACAAAATTTGATGCACAAAACTCTTCACGTTACTTTCTGTAGCTACTTCTTCAAGTATGTGCTTCCAAATTTCTGGCTCCACTAATGTACTTTTTGGCCTTCTCTAGTGTACCATACACTCCTGCAGCTGTGTCTCAGAGCAAAAGCATCTCCTTTCTTGTTGTCCCC